AGACCACCCCGATATCCCTGAGATTATCTGTTATGACCTGTACCACCCTGTCCATATCTTAAAGTTTGGGTCACCTTGACATCAGCACATGGTCATTCTCTACTTGGCGAATTATGCCATCACCATGCTACACTCACCATAACAACACATTCTCAAGTTACTGCAACAACATAATTTTTAAAATGTGTGAAGTCTTAAAAATGTGACCGTTTCAGGCACTTAGAACCAGATAAACCATATTTTACCGTATATATGGGGCAATTCAGAGAATCTAGGACCACCAGCCTAGAGAAGGCAAGACATAATAACAATCTTCAAATGTCTGAAAGAAATAGGGACTAGATGTGGTCTGCGTGACTCCAGGTGGGACAGGAAGGCCAAATGCCACAATCGAGGTTTTTTTAGGGCAGAGCTTTCTAATATGCCAAGCTATCCTGAACTGGAAGGTCAAGATGACCACTTGGCAGGGATGTTACAGAGAGAAACCCCTTTTTAGTTGGGAAGTTACTTCAGATTCCCTTCTAAACTCAAGAGCCACTGATTCTAAGGAAAATCTACATTGTGGGATTCTCAGCTATTTTTTTTTTTTTTGGCCAGGTTGGGAATGTCTCTGTTTTGGGTAAGATATTTTGTCTTCAGAAGTTACCTTCAAAAACGAAGGAAGCGTCACATTGACCCACTGGCATCATGAGCAAGAATGAGCTGATCTAATTGGAAAGCTAAGAACAAGCTTGTAGAAATGGGACGCTGGCGAAACGAGGATTGCCTCAAGGACAGCTCTAGGGCAAAATCACAGGGACCAAAAAGAGACACGATTCAGCTCAGTCATGTGGAGGAGTGTTCATTTGGAGGCAGAACAGCTCTTAAGTGGACTAGGACCTTGAGGTCTTCAATCAAAAGAATGTAGACATATGGGGCTAAATCTCACCTGGGAATTCTGCAACTCCGTTTGTGTTCCCAGTTGGTAAAAAGCCTTCCTTTCCGCCACCATCCAGTCCCACTAGTCACTGTTCCCGTGGCAGCTCCTTCTTCAGCTCCCCGGGGTCAGGAACTGGGGGTCTTCATTCAACAAATATTAAATACATGCAATGCGCCAGGCGCTAGGCTAGGCATTTTTGTGCAGAGCAAATAACAGCAAAACAGATATAATTCTTGCCCTCAAGAAGTTCGTGGTCTAGTAGGGGAGATAGAAAAATCCTAAAAATGAAGAAAGTACAGAATTACAAGTTGAGCTAAGTGCAGAGAAGGAAATGAATAAATAAGGTGTGGGGAAAGAAGATATTCGGGTTGGGTGCTGAGGACGTGACATTTAAGCAGATAGCTGAAGGATGACAAGGGGAAGGGGTGTGTGACGAACTGAATGAAGAAATAAATGAGTGAGAAGAAAGCTGGCAAGAGCCTCTCCATCTGCCCAGGAGAAAAGGGCCTTGGCCTTCTTAAGGCAGCGAGGACTCCTAACAGCGAGCAAAGTGGGCATCTTCCCGTCATTGCCAGGCACAATGCGAGAATTACATCATTCACTTTAAAAACAACACAAGGGAGCGGGGCTTCCTTTACGGAGAGAAGGAAACTGAGTCTCAGGACGGGCAGGTAGCTTGCCCAGTGCTTCACTGCTAGTAAGTGGCAGAGTCAGGATTCACATCCAGTTCCGGGAGGCCTTAAAGCTCATGCGTGGCTTCGCACAGGAAAGAATTAAAATTCAAGCCAGCACAGGGTTTAAAGTGAAAGTGAGTTTATTAGTGAAACGTCAAGACAGAGAATGAGCTACTCCACGGACAGAGCAGACCCCCCTTTAGCAGAATTTGCTTCCTTTTTGAGGTATATTCAATGGGCGGGGGGCTGGGAGGTAGGGGATTCAATGAAGGGGAGGGATACTCAGGATCTTCTCCTGAAAGGGGTGGAGATTTCTCAGAGGAGCTTCATCAGACATTTTTAATGTGTATGTATTTTTATTGATTTTTAGAGAGAGAGGAAGGGAGAGGGAGAGAGAGAAGCATCTGAACGTGCCCTGACTGGGGATTGAACCAGCAACCTTTCGGTGCCCAAGAGGATGCCCCACCAACTGAGTCGCACAGGCCAGGGCTCATCAGCCCTGCTGTGTCCTTACCTGGGTTTTCCACTACTGGTCGCGGCAGCGCAGAGTGTGTCGTCTAGCAGGCTAATGTATTATAACCGGTGTACAATGAGGCTAGGGGGTTTCCATTAGGTGAAATTAGGTGCCATATTGAACTGAGCTGTTCTCTGCTGGTTTTAAGCTATAAATTCGGTGTTTTTTTTGGGGGGGGGCAAGGGTGGGTATCTTACTCTCTTGACAGCCCCTGTGGCTTTTATTGTTTGCAGTTATTCTACCACATACCCTCTCTCAGCAGAGCTAAAGTTGGATTTGAATACAAATAATCTGACCTCAGAGTGAGAACTTTCCTTGTCTCTCCAGATGTGCCAATGCCCAGCGTCTGTGGGAATCCTGGCGCCTGGCGCGCACTCGGCTCGCCACAAGCCCAGGTGCTTTGGCGCCCTCTTGGGGAAGTCAGCATCGTTGCTGGTGGTCAGGAAGGTGTCCCAGCGTCCCGTGCCGGCTTTCCACCCAGCAAGTCACGAGCTTGGGGCCAGATCCACAGCTACCCTCTCCCAGCCTCCGTTTCCCTCTTTGCAAAGTGGGTGTAATAATTTCCACCTTGAAGTGTTTCCCAAGGTTCAAGGTAAGCTAAGGTAGGGAAGCACTAGTACGTTCCATACTGACTGTCCTTTATTTTTTTTTTTTGCCTAAGTAGAGGGGACGAGCATACAGATCTGATACAAGGCTGCTTGACTGCACTGTTGTGTGAGCTCAGGCAGCTCTCTTAACCTCTCTGTGCCTCTGTGTTCTGACCTGAAAAATCACTGCAATAATAAAACCTACCGTCATAAGGATATTCAAAGAGACAGAGCATATTGACTGTTGAGTGCCAGTGTCTGGAACAGAGCATGGCAGAGACTAGGGTCTCAATAGAGAGAATGAATGGATAAGTAGCTAAATATGACCCTGGCACAAATAAGTACCCATAGGTGTGTCTGGGCCTTTATTAGTTGTGTTATCATTGTTACTGTCTCGCCCAGGCACATCTCCCCTCTGGCAAGACCAAAGCACTTTTCATCCGCCACGAAACTCTTCTAGTTTTTATTCCCTCTCCATCCACCCTTCAGCCTGACTCAGGTGGGAGATGGCAGGGACCCTGTGAACATGGACGAAATTAGTGATGCCTCCCTCTCCAAGGTGGTTCTTCTGAACTTCACTGGTGGCCTGGATTCATTCTCTCTCCTTCCCTCTCTCTCTGCCTCCTTCCCCCCATCTCTTTCCCTCTTTCCTCC